CCAGATTTGGAGCTTAGAATTCCCTCCCCTCTGCAGAATTTCCAGATCTGCTCTGCTCCTCCTCTTCACCGCCGGCTGCTCCTGCTTTGTGGGGGCGAATTGCTCGGTTTTTTTGGTAAGAAATAGCTCGAAATTCCCCTTTTCCTACTTGATTTGGCTTGGGTTTACTCTAAACCCTCTTGATTTCTCCAATTTTCCGTGGATTGCGTGATTTTTCTCCTACAGATTGCCGCCGGCCTTCCCCCAACTGCAGTCCGGTTTTAGCTGGAAAATTCTGGTATGGACAGCCCTTTAAGCCTAAAATTATCCATTTAATTTGTTGCCTTGTGATGTCCGAAAATCTGCAGTAATTAGGGGATGAATTCTGGTAGCTTTAGGATAAAATTAAGCATTAATTCAAGTGGAATTTATGTGATTGAGTGTTAATTGACCGCTGTGAGATTTTTGGAGAAAATCACGTGAATTAGCCATGGTTTTGCCCATTTTTGGAATTGTAGTTACTGTTTATGGGCACTGTTTATGAGCACTGTTCACGCACAGATGGTCAACAATTAATGGGGATTTAAATGATTAGTTTGTAATATAAAAATAAATTTAGAGATGTCTAGTAATGTGGAGATTGATAGAAATAGCATCGTGATTATTAGGGAGTACTTATGGTGATTTTACTTTTGAATTCATGATAAGATAATTAATTCTTAGATATTTTGATTAGGTTCTTGATCGTTCTGTTAGTTTAGTACTGAGATTGAATCTTTGATTTATGCGATTTGAAGTAAGTAAATTTATGGTAATGCTTATACTGTTTTTAAAAGCATGTTTTGACTTTTTTTGAAGTGGTGGCGGGATTAAATTCGTTTTATGCAAAAGTAAGTATGACTGATTTGAAGTAAAATTTTTATGCCTTTTCATTAAATTGAGCATGCTTACTTGAAATTTAATTGAGCATGCTTACTTGAAATTTAATTAATTGTTCTGATGATTTGAAAGTGATTGGTGAATTATGATTTTTCTGTTAACTTCTGCTTGTTTTGTCTCCGATGTGGTCATGTTATTAGTGACCTTGCTAGTGGGGGTTAAACGTTAGCACATATCGACATGTTTACTGATATGACTGGTAAATTCTGACGCCTGCCAATAGGCGAACACATTGGTAAATTCTGACACCTGCCAGTGGGTGTTATACGCCGGCTGTGACCTATAGAGGAGACGTCTATTTCATTTCCGTACTCATATCTTTTTTTATGATTATACTTGTTGGCATACTATAAGTTTAATAAGGGACACTCCATATTTTATTTATTAAGTTTATCTCATAGTTTTTCCTTGTCCACCATTTCAGGAAGCGAAACCGAGGACGAGGAAAGCACGGGAAGTGACGAGTTAGAAGGCTAGCCATT